CTAGGAACATGGGCGAACAAGCACGACCTTTCGTCTTTAAGGGCCCCTTTACGGTCAGCGTTGAGTCCACTGACACCTTGGCACGGGGGCCCAGCTCCCACGACGATCAAACTTGCCTGCGAAAAATGGGTGGCCCAACCCTTTACCACCTCGGCATCCACCGTAGTAACATCCTCCCACATAAGGGAGGCAGGGTACCTGGATTCTGTAACCCTCCTGGCCTCTGTGTTCTTCTCGACAGCAATGACCCAGCAATGGCAGCCGCGAGGCCTCCGCCGCAACTCGAAGTGCACCAATGCCATCGAAGAGCCCAATGGTCACCACCCCGCAAAAATCAAAGGGTTCAGGAAGGTCACCTCGCTGTGGCCTTTGGGAGGCTATAACTCCCCACGGGCTCAGGCCCTTGCTCCGGGTTACGCCTCCCCCCGTCGACGAAGCGTCACTTGCTGTAACCATCCCCTGGATCTCTGTACGGAAATCAAAATGTGCAAGGGGAACCAAACCCACAAACCTCAAGATCTCCATCTTGACCAACTCAGGAGTACGTAGGACGGATCCTTCTTTCAGACCTTCGAAGCTCTTGATATAAGACCATATGTGGTTCAGCGCCGAAAGGAGGGGCCTACGGAACATAGTCATATAAACGAAACCCCCTCCCACAATCTGAGCTTGTCGTTGCGTGCTAAAGGTAGAACTGGCTAATTTCAGCCCCAAAACCACATACTTCAGGATCTTGTCCACCTTGGGATAGGCAACGCCACGCACCCCGTCAACCATAGCTCCCTGTACTTCTGCCTGAGATTGGAGGGCCACAGCCTTCTTGGGGTGCCTTGGGATGTTCCATCTTGCATACGCCTCCTGAAGGGCCAACACAGTAGGAGTCAACTCTCCCTTCAACGTGGCGGCTAGGTCCTTGTTCACCTTTGTGAGCTCGTCAAAATTGTCCAAATAAATACGGAACATGTTGCTAGAAGAAGAGAAAAGCTTATCACGCCTCAACTCCTGATCCCCTGCATTTAGGCGACCTGAGTTCATCAAGCCCTGCCGCAAAACATACCGATGTACATGTTGGGCAATGCTCACAGAATTCTTGAAACCCATCGGAAGAACCGTCGCCGCCAGGTAACATGTACCAGATTTCCCTTCACAGAGGCTTTTAGGCAAAGGGCGGTTGAAAGCCATGAACCTATGCCAAGAAACGGGTACTTTAAAAATATAAAAGAAACATCTCACGTCCTCGCTTGAAATGAGAAGGTCCTCATCGATATCCAGCGACAGTGGTCCCATGGAACTCCACGAAGGAAGAGTAGCAATGTCGCCCTCAATACCCCGACAAATACGATTCAAGGGTATCAAGTTCATGATGAGCCGGTGGACCTCAATCTCGCCTGACCAGTCGCCCTTCGAAACCCCGAAGAGACCATTCAACAAGGGCTTGTCCTGAACGTGATAAACCTCTGACTCCTCAATAACTTTGCAAATGCCTCGTTGAACCAGGTTTGTTGCGAGCTCCTCCCACTCCCCGGGAGGAACCATGACCTTGGGCCCTTTCGTGAACACCTGGTCCTCAACCGGGAGAAGATAGTTCTCGAAGTTCTCAACATAAGGTTTGCACCCTGCATCACAAACGTCAGAAAGGGCGACCGTCCCAACTTCCGAGGGCAACGCAGGGGATAACATCTCCCAAGAAACCGCACGTGCAACTTTGACCTCTTCTCCTTGATAATCAACCCCTTTGACTCTGAAGAACTCACCCCAGTCCAGGAACTCCGCCTTTTCCAGCCACCGACCAGCGGCGCACGCTTCATCCATGAGACCCCGCAAAAGCCGCTGTTGGCAGGGGGTCCCATCTCCCATGACCAAATCATGTTCTGAAGAATCCTCAACTCCTCGTCCTTCTTGTTCGGGAATAGTTTCTTGAGGGAGCAAAAGGCTGATGGCAAGGGAAAGATGTTGCCAATGGACTTGGTCATGCAGCTTGAAGATAAATATTGAAACAGCGATGCTCCCAAATGAACTGCTCCCTCACCAAAAGTAAGGCCCCCCAGCATCTCTCCTACTCCCTTCTGCGCCTCTACCTTGGGTCGGCCCGAGGGCAGAGGCGCCATCCCCTGGCTAGGAGCGCTATTGGCTCCCATCATGCACGGCAGTACCTCAATTCTTCCACCATTCTCTGTCATCTTGCGAGGGACGCTGTGGTCCAAGGTCTCATCCTCCTCTGTCATAGTCCGGTCCTCACCTCTCCCATTCTTAGGAGCTCTCCAGGCTGACACTTCCTCCTCTTGGCTGACTCCTGCCTTCCTTACTTCTTCTCCGCACCTTTTGATCCCTTCTCCTCCTTGCCTTTCTTGCTCTTGCCTTTGCCGTCTCGTCCTTTTCCTGGCTCTCGCCAACCACCCTTCGGTTGCTGCTCCCTCTCAGGAGCACCTTTTCCAGAGTTCTGCCAGGCACCTTCTCCGCGGGCTTCCTTTATCGCGATCGCAGCCTCCGGGTTGCTACCTGAGCTGTCTCCAAGGGGCACAGCTCCATCTTCTGAGCAGTCTGCCACGGCATCCCCTGAGAGACCTGCTCCAGGCGCTGCAGCAACAGGTCGACCGCCTCGGCGACCCTCCCTTGGGCCAGGAGGTCCGCACCATAGGCCAGGGTGAACGCTTCTCGGGCCATCGCGCCATGGAGTTTCAGCTGAAGCACCGTCCTGACATAGTGCACTCCCACCGGCGCCAAATCTCTGTTTTGGCCCCACAGCTGCCCTGAAGCCGCGACCAACGACTTCTTCATCTCGTTGATGGACGCCGCCGCCAAAACTCCTGGGCCTCTTACTCCAACTCTCCTGATCCTCTGCGCCTCCTCGAACACCCCCGCGTCCTCCTCCTCTGTCGACTCCTCTCCCGAAGAGTCCCGATCGGAGGTGTCCATCTGTCTCTGCAACAGCCTCAGGCTTTTCTTTACCTTCCTCACCACCTGTCTCCTCACCTTGACGTCCGGGCACGGCGCTCAGCTCCTTTGTTGCTTCGACCTTTACTCCTCTCTTCGCCTTCTTTTTCTTTTTCTTCTTCTTCTTTCTCCTCCGGCTGGATGAGCTGGTTGAAGAGCTTGACTCGCTTCTCGCCCTCTTCTTCTCCATACCTCCTGTCTCCTTTTCCTTTACCCTCCTGCTCTTTCTTCCAGCCTTCAAATCCTCCTTGTCCAGCTCGTTGCCCCTCTCTCTCAAGGCCGCCATGTCGTCCACCTGAATCGGCACATGCCCCACCAGATTGTCCAGCCACGCCTCCCCTGCGCCTGGGAGGCGAAGCCTGACTTTCTTCACGTGGACCAACCCGTCCTTGCATAGGCCTGCCACGCAACCGTCCCCGCACACGTGTAGCTTGCATCGGCTCGCTGGGTTCCCTGTCGACCACTTCAGGAGGTCCTCGTTCTCCGTGCCCAACAGCCGAACCTCCACGACGACCCCTGCTCCGTCCTCTTCGACTCTCTCCACTGTTCCACATAGCGTCACGGGGGCTTCCCAGTAGTTGCCTTCAACCACGATCAAGCTCTGGCCTGGCCTAATCAAATGTCTTGGCAACTCCACAACGTTCACACTCTCCCCTCTCTCAAACCTCTCTTCAACTGGAGCCACCTCTCTACCAGCCGGCCTCCTCAACACGGCAGGGTCCTCTCTCTCTTCCTCCCCAGCTGGTCTCCTTCGGACCCTAGGAGGAGCTACCGGCAGCCGGGCAAGGGCTCTGGCTCTCCCCTTCGCAGCTGCTTTAGCCTTAGCAGCTCCTCGTCTTCCGCCAACCTTCGGAGGCATCAATCTCCTCCCCAGTGCTTTCCACCGCCTTTTCCTTTTCCTCCACCAAAGCGCTCTCTGAACCTCCTCTGCTGCTCTCTTTTCTTACGCCCTTTGTTCTTACCTCTCCTGTCCTCACCTCTGTACTCCTCTCGGGGCCGGATCAGCAGGTCCTCGATGAAGCCCCCCGGGAGCCTCCGCAAAGGGGACTGGCTGAGGTCCCTCTTGATCTCCTCCTTCTCCCTGCTGTCTGATGCTTCCTCTCTCCTCTCTTCACCTTCAGCCCGTTCCTCAGTGGCCTCCTTGCTCTTTGCAATAAGCCGCCTGATGTGCCCTTCACTCGAAGTGCTCCTATGCCTCCTCGCTTTATCCTCCTTGCTTGATGACAGCGGAGAGGTGCGGGTCCGATGCCTGGCTTCCCTTGGACGTTCCTCTTCCTCCTCGCTCGCGGCGGGCTCCTCCTTGTCCCCCACAGACCCTCCGACCTGGTGCCACGGAAACTCTTCCCTTCCTCTTTTCAATTCCTTTCCTCCCGGACTCCTGGTGACCTCCACGCTCTCCTCACGTTTCCCCCTCGATGACCTAGACCTCTTCCTTTTCCTCTCCTTCTCCTTCTTTTCCTCTTTCTTCTTTTTCTTCTTCTCCTTCACTCTCTCCTCACCGGCCTCTTTGGCCCCAGCAGCCTCTGCCGCTGACCCTGTGTCGGAGGCCGGGGGGACTGCCAGGTCCCCCGGTCCTCCCTCAGGAGCTCGAGCTCCCGCTGGAGATGCTCCCTCGGAAGGAGCACCTCCTACCCCTCCCGTCCCAGGAGGGGTTGCTGCAGGGGGCTGGTTTGTCAACCAGTGATCCCGATCCCGAAGGTCCAGGATCTCCCCCTGCAGCAACCTCACACGCTCGAGGGCCCGGCTCCAGAAAAAGTAGGAGCTAGACCCTCGGCACAGGTCCCTGACCCTGCTAAGGGTCAGGCACAAGTCGCACTGGCACACTCCTTCGGAGGAGTGGCCAGTGGCCATAACCCGCAAGCCGAAATCTGGCGGAACGCAAACCTAATTCATCTTTACATACCGGGGCGTTACATCATATATATGATTGTACAATATACATATAATCCCTCTTTTGATCTTCTTTTTGGGCAGCATAACATGAAAGCATTCTGATCTGGCGCAAGTGCACAAATCCATGTGGCTTAGTTTTCATTAGCTTTCACCATCCTCCATCTTGGGATAGGCTGTTGGATTTGTGCATGCCAACTATGTACATTGCCGTCATGAACCATAGCCTGCAGCAAAATAACGCCCACGAAAGGCAAATTCCTAGATTCCCGCAATCACATCACTCTGTGCACCCCCTCGATTGGCGTGCGACAATAAGGGCCTTAGTGAGGAAACAAGGCCTTTGACAGTCAAAGCAGGCAAACAAATGCTTTCTGCAGGCCAGCCACACTCGCGAACCTCGGGCGATCAGCTCATCTGTCTATCCACACAATTTCTTGGCAGACCTGTTGCCAAGAGTTGTTCATGTGTGAGCTGTTGGCACAGCTATGCGGCGGCTTTCAGCCGTTTACGGGGGCCAGCCCTACAGAACAAAGGGTTTAGCCTTGTTACTTTTGGCCTTTCGCAACATCCTGCTTTGGTCCTTTCAACGCAGGTTCATTTCTCCCCTATGGTCCCAAATAGAATGGGGCAGTTCCTGAGGCTTCCATTTGCACAACACCATGCACTTCAAAATGACGTGAATGTGAGTCTCGCAAGCAAGCGACAACTCCGCTGTGAGTGATACGGAGTTCCCCTCAGGGCCCGGCTTTTGTGGCACATGCTTCGCATGTGCCCTAGGCAGGCGCTGGAGAGATGTGCAAACCTCATCCTTCCACTGCAGTTACTCCAGGGTTCTTTTCCTAGTCTTCCAAGAGGCAGCAGCAGTTGCTTTGGGAGTAGCAGAGTCCGGCAGGACGTGCCTTGAAACAGGGGGCAAGCTTCGCATGTTGGTTTTCTCTTTGGTTCTTCAGGGTGATTTGTGAATCCAAACATATTTATGCTATCCCTATCTATGAATCTGGATGGGTTCTCCAAGTAATAATCATATGTACGGAAGCTTTCCGATCAGAAAATGGAAGCAAACATTGGCGACGAACAGCACGCCGCCCTTGACACATGCTTGAAAGGCAACGGCCATGCAAACAGCCGCAACACAACAACACGTGGCAAGCTGTGCAAGAGTCATACACTATCACATACCCTCCTTCCAGAAGGGCCTCGCATCCAGAACCAGCATATGGAAAATGGGCACGGTGCGATTACACGATGGACCCCGTGCGTACCACGAGCGCCTGTTGACCGCACCTGGACCCGCATTTGGGGCACGTGTCCCCAGAACCAAGCTACAGCCAACGCAGCGAGTACTGCACTTCCCGCCCAACTAATTCCCAATGAATGGCAGAATGAAACCGCAATATTTGATTCATTATATTCATCCAAAAAAGGAATGTGTAGTTGGTTGGATCCTGCCAGCCAAACGGCCGAGTGCGCGTTACCGGCCCGCCGTTGGCGCCCGTCGGGCCCCCGGGCCGCGTGGTTGCAGGGCTTCAGCGCCTTGCCCATGGTCGCCATGCTGGGCTGCTCGCACAAAAGGCAGGCGGTTTGCCCTGCGAGCCGAGTCGAGTCGGAGTCCAAGAGTCCAAGGCAGGTTGAAACACCGAAGGATTCCACTGGCAAATGATCAAAATCAAAATCATTGCTAGTTCATTGACTGATTCATTCATGCATTCACGCACCTAACCGCGGAGGCCAAGTTCGGCCTGTCGGAGCAAAACCAAAATAACTCAACTCCAAACAGAAGCATCAGTTTGGTTCTACCAGATCGCATGGGAGCCACAGCCTTAGCAAAGCTGGGTAAGACGGATTCCACAAAATGGGCTTGGCGTGGCTTAAAGGAGGGGCCGGACCGGACACCCGAACGCCCGCCTTCCACAGCCTCGTCTGGCTGCAAGCCCTCGAGGATGGGGCCGTCCTGAGGCGACCAGTTGGGGGGTGGTCCAATTGATGGGTCCCTATTTGGATCCACCTTTGAGCGGCACACAATGACACTAGGCCTCAAAATAGGGATAGTTGTTTGGTCAACACCCCCACTTTAAGCCCGCTGGATGATGATTCAACGAATGAACCTGATGCTTTCTGAATGGGGTGTCTTCGTATGACAACGGGGCATGCATGACCCCAGACGCTGCTATCTCCCTAAGTGTATCACAAGTGCAAGCTTTATAGCGATAACCATTCTACAAAACCAGCGAGTATCTGCAATACCGAGAGGGCCCGCTCTACCCAAGATCCAGGGGAGCAAAATTGCACTGCCACGGTCCTCGGTGAAGCTGAAGTGCCCATGGCAAATGCAGCGCTCCTCGGGGCAAAGAGACGGCAAAACCTGTGCACCTGTGGCTAGTCCACATCAGTCTGACGTCTCGTCGTCCAGAAGGCAAGTGATTGTTGATCAAAACGCATGAAGAATCGTGATCTTTTGGAGGGGTCCTAAGAGTCATTACCAAACATGCAAAGGCGGGAAAAAGTAAAAGGAATCAAAACGGGCTGGATCTTCATCAAGCCATTCGCAACCTCTGATAGAATTGTGAAGAACAGTCAAAACGCGGAATCGGCTTGGGGCCATATCAAAGCAAAAATTGGCCGTGCACGCCATTGCAGAAGCAGTGTATTGCATGGATCGGAAATGATAGCAAAACCAGCTTGTGCAGCGTGAATTGCATGGCCCAACACAACAACACACCGAGCATGTAAAACAAGCAACCTCCGAACACTGTTCATTGTGAACGCACACATGCGAACGCAACGACGATAGAAGCAAATTGAAGCAAGCCTGCTTCAAAGTACATACCTGATCGTATGTAAGCTAGGGGCACACACACACATGCCTGACTTGGGCATAGATCGACTGTAGACTAGGCCAAGGAAGCACACGGTATGTAGCTGTGAAGGCTTGACCCGGCGACTGTCACAGGACAAGTAGCATCTTGATGAAAGTGCACAGTATTGCATGCTTGTTTCAGATGCGATATGACTACCATCGGGTGAATGTCTACCTTCACTGCTTGCCTCCACGTCTGCATTCCCTGAGCATGCAACAATGTGAAGCATGATCATGAGGATAACTTCTCTCTCTCTCTCTCTCTCTACTGGCTTCACATAAACACGGTATGAACCTACATTGCGGAAGGATAGATGGGTCAGCTATTACTAACACAAGTCAGAGCCGGGGAGCATCGAAGACAAAACCATCCAGCAGCTTGCCACCCTTCAGATGTCCCTGGCGGCTTGGCAAAAGCCAGCAGCAGACAAGACATGCCACGAGCCGTGTCGGCATGAATTGCTGTGTACCGTTGGTTGCCAGGGGGCAGCAGTCAACATGGCAAGGGTCATGCCAGTATTTCCACAGAGCAATGACACCTATACCGGCACCTGTACATGAGTCAAACAAACTGAGATCAAGCTGCACGTCATGCCTGGCTGTCTGTCTGGCTCACACTTTGACCGCCTCGGACTTTCTACCTAAACATCTGGCCTTGCAAGCCTGCGCAACCCCATGGTGATTTAGCAGCTCCAATCGCAAAGGGAGACCGTGCTTGCTAGATTACCCTTGATCCTGGAGACAACTTCTTCCTCGTGATGCTGAACAACCTGCTTGGCGTTTTGCAAACACTGCTCCCGCACAGCTCTGCCCGACATATGTGGCCTTCTGTTTGGCCTTCGAGCGGTTCCCGTTGAGACTGGCATGCTTGGCCGAGCTCCGACAAGGCAACCCTGATCCCCCAGGAAGCCATGGTCAAGTCTGAGAGCTTCTGGACAAAACGCTGGGAACTCGCGCGGCCCCAGCCTTGAACAAAGGCGCACCGTTGGGCCAAAAGAACTGGCCCTTTCCTTGCGAGCAGGGGGGGGAGGGACCAAGACCCCCTCATGTGTGTGTGTGTGTGTGTGTGTCTGTCTGTCTGTCTCTGTCTCTGTCTTTGTCTCTGTCTCTGTCTCTGTCTCTGTCTGTCTGTCTCTGTCTGTCTCTGTCTGTCTCTGTCTGTCTCTGTCTGTCTCTGTCTGTCTGTCTCTGTCTGTCTGTCTGTCTGTCTGTGGCCTTTCCACGGATCGATACTTGTTGAGGGAGGCGTAAGATAGTGTTTCTGATTGAACTCATTGGAACTCTGTGAGTGACCCTCTTAGTTGTCTCAGGATGCCACCCAAACGACATGGCGCCTGCCAAAGCACTCACAGACAGCCAACAACATGTCCAGAGAAACATACGCTTCCTCGAGTTGTTCCCAGAATCTGAAACATTGAGGAAGGAAGTTGCAGGACTCAACATCCTAAAGCATCCAATTTTGCCGGCTTTGTGCTCAGCATGATAGAATCATCCCCCCCCCCCTCGCACCACAGGCAGTGCGCTCTCCTCTGACACACTCGCTCGTAAAAGGATAACTCTAGGCAAACTAAAACTGGCAGAAGGAGTTGCAGGCGCTAACATGAAAACGTTGATTCGGTTGGGGATGCTTCCAGCAATCTGTCATTTCAATGTGGTACAAAAAATGCGGGGCCTGTGAATGTACTTGACTGCAGCCTACGAATCTACTGCTGTGTTGGCTCCGCTGCAAACTAGTCCGCAGTTCACAAATAACAGACACCGCCATTCAAAATGCAACAATTCACAAAGTGTGTTGCTACTCGGGGGGAACAAATCAATACTGATCCCTCATGCATGTCCCCTCCGCCCGCCGCCAGCGACAGTCCTGACATGGCAGTCTCCTTGAAACCACCGAGGTAGAAGGGCCTTGGGTCGCAAAGCATATCCCATACAAAGTGGCATAATCTAGCAGAATGAACATCATGTGCCGGACTTGAACAGTCGGGAAGTGGGACAAACACAAGCCTTCTATTTCTGCGTACGGCAGGTGTTGCCTGACGCATACGCCAACAGAAACATGCCACAACTCATACTATAGGTTGCGAGCAAATGGAAGGACAAGTTCTGCCCATAGGCTACACAATCCGCCCTTGTCAGAGCTTCTGTCGCCTGAGGCACGCACACCTGAGGCAGCACTTGCCAATTTTGATCTGGATGGGCCTGTCACAGCTGCTCACAGCTGCACAGCCGGGGTCCAGATCAGCGCCCAGCAACTCTTAAAGAATTGGTGAGGGTCCTCTTTGAAGATAATTGGGGTGTGCAACCTCTCTTCAGAAGCAAGTACAGGTGGCTAGAAGGCTCTGTGAAACACGAAGGAAGGCCCGTGTCAACATGAAGCAACCGGCGGCGGGCACGGCTACTGGCAGGTTCACCAACCCTGTGTGACAATCACTAAAGTGTTTCACCCGGGTTCTTCTTGGGTCCCTAAGCCGCAAGGACTACTCAGCGTACAGCCGCGTTGGATTAAAATCCTCAAACACAGGCCAGACATCTTTCAACTGCCAAAGGCAACTACTTGGTGATTCATCAAAACCAAAGTAAAGATATCCCATCCTTGTGCTTTTTGGGTAAACACCATGCATTGTCACCTTCCCACGTAGGGCCCACCTCATCGAAGGCGCCCGTAAAGAAGCCATCGTAGTAGAGGTATTGCCCATGCCTTCAGATCCGTAGTATTTGCTTTCTTGTTTGTTCACACCAACGGCCCCGGGATGCGAAGTTGGACCCCGTTCCTTTTGAGCGACTCTCGCTTAGGAGTCCCCAAAAGTCTTAAGACTGGGCAGGCGGTCCAGCAGCTTCTGAGGCGTACCCTGAGCTTGTTGGTGCCGTCTAAAAGGTCTGCTCAAGAAATGGACCATTTCGCTTTGACGCGTAAACACGCACACACACACACACACACACACACACACACACACACACACACACACACACACACACACACACACACACACACACACACACACACACACACACACACACACACACACACACACACACACACACACACACACACACACACACACACACACACACACACACACACACACACACACACACACAAACACACACAAAGGAACGCATACAAAAACACAATCAATGGAGGCAGGCAGGCAAGCAAGCAAACAAGGAAGCAAGGAAGCAAGGAAGAAAATCCCAACAATAAAGCGCACTCACACAAGCAAGCAACCACGCAAGGAATGAAACACATTCAAAAACGGCAAGCAGGCAGCATCCACCCCATGGATGAATGAACAAATAAACAGACAGCCAAACAAACAACCACCCACCCACCAAACAAACAAATACACAAAGGCTATCCCCGTTTTGAAAACTGACACCCAATACACGCACAAACTCCGATCTTGAGGAACGACAGTAAAACACAACTCACTATACATGGTTGCTGCCCATATGCAAGTTCTGCTTGCCATGCGTACCTCTCAACTGCACCAATCAAACCAGAGTAGCGGAGACGTTGGGTTTACCGGCGAAACGAAGGGGCAGCTGGTGGAATGACCCTGACATTCCGACTTGTGGATTGTCTGTAAGGACATCTGAAAAATAGAAGGTCGGTTTGCGCAAAAATGCCAAAGCGTCCTTCTGGGCCATAACATCAAACTTGCTACAAGTTTCCACCAACCACACAAGAAGAACAATGCCTATCGGCTGGGCGGTTGGCTTCGATGCCTAAGTACGAACGTCTGGGTCTCCCGCTGTAAGTTCTGCAGCCGAATGCAGCCCTCCTGACCAGAGACCACATGTCATGACAGGGCATCCCCTTTTCAGGCTGGCCTAAAGGGAAACGAAAAGGAACAACACCATTTTGGGGGTCCCCCTGTTTTGACACATACTCGTTTGTTCTGCGGTGGTTGCTGGTACTCGATTGCACTTGACTATGCCCAGTTCCGCGACCCCAAGTGCCACTCCTCGCAGGGCTCAGCCTTCCAACTCTGGCCCGGCACCTCTGCCGTGCACCTCAGGCCGGCCCCAAAAAGTTACAAAGAACTCAGCCAAACGAGCCGACCTCCCCTCAACAAGTGAACCTTTTGGCTGGGCACAAGAAAAAATCGAGAAAACCAGAGGGAAAAGGGTGAAAGTCAAGAACGGCAATAACAAGAACACACAACACCTGCGATTTGGCATGGCCCCCTGGCCTTCTCAAATATCCACTTATCGGCAAGCTGGTCGGAAAGAGTTCCCAAGTCACCCAGCTCAACAAATCACGTCCGAAAATCACTTGAATGTGTCTTACCAAAGGCGGCCCCGAATGGTTGCCTGTTCGGTGCTCCACGAAACCAACCTGCAAAGAAAGGTACCAGCTCCAAACACGAAACGCCCCACTGAAAGGAGAACCACAAGGCTCCAGGCATGCAACAGCACAACTGAACGGCTCCGACCTCCCCGCCGTCCAGCCTGATGGCCTTCCGCCGGTCCGGCGAAAACCAGGCCGGATCCTCCACCCGCAGGTTGCACAAGTGATCCTGGCAGGGACCCAACAGCGCATACAGGGGTACAGCACATGATACAAGACAAGCGCAAAAGGGAGTGGGAGAGAGAACGTAGGAAGATATTAACATATGACCACTTTCCAGTTCTCTCGCGACTCTCAGGATTCCAGTTCCTGGAACAACTTGAAAGTGGAAAGAGATAATGTTAAAGAGATGAGTGAGTGGATACCGTTCCCTTTCTATCTCTCTGTTTACTAGAAACAAATCATCTTAAGAATAATAAGTTGGAGATATAGAAGGAGAGAAAGGGGAAGAGAAGGACCTCATCACCTCTTCGTTCCTCACGTCACTCATCCGCCTATCTTATCTGTATCCTCTAATTCTTTTATTTTTTATTTTTTATAAAGCAACATAGAAGATACAGAGATGCGTGTAAGAGAACGGCATAAAGGGATTGATATACCTCTCTTCTGGCTTCCTAAGCCTCTTTCAATTACTCTCCATTGTAACTATTTAAAGAATGAAATTGTAGTAACGAGAATGGAATGAAAGTGAAAGGAAAAGAAATAGTGTCTGATGGACACGGCTTTCACCAAGCTTTATCTGCCATCTCTTAGTCTTAGAGTTGTGCCTTGTCCAATTATTCGAGAAGAAATGAAATTGAGAAGGCACGTATTGTCACCCAACTCTCTATCCACTTTTTTCCAAGTTATACCAGATGAGACATTGGGAAGGCTTGGAATTAACAGTCACTTCCTTCTCTCAGTTCGTAACGTGAAACGTCTCTAACTCGCGAATACTCTCCAAATATGATAGTGTCATAAAAGCTCTAGAAGAAACAGGAAATGAATGACTGGCAAATTAACGAGAAGAGCCAGGAATAATTAACTCTTAGAAGCGAGCCTCAGCTTTGGAACCAATCTACTCTTTTTCTTTGTTTGTTCTCCACCTCTCGTAACTCCTATAATTGAGAGGTGGCAAGCATTAAGATAAGATAAAACAGAATATGAAATATGACTCTGAAAATCCAAAAGGTGCCAAATGAAGATAGAAACTCATACAAACAGATAATGAATGATGTAGACATGAAATATGAATACTAAAGACAAAGGTATGTGGACATAGTAAAGACATTATTACGAGCAAAGCAATCCAGTCAAGAGGGCCTGCGAGCAAGACTTGCCTCAGACCTGCCCGTCAACCCACTGCACAGCCCCGCCGTTGTCTCTTGCTCGCGCGGTTAGCAAAGCGCGACTTCTCTCTAGGCCCAGGCAGCATAATGACAACGCATGCTTGCTAGCCTAGAGTTCGCTCTTGGCGCAGCCAGCGGTTGGCATTGCGATCTTCTTGGTCTTTGGCGCCTAGTGGGCTTAACAGCAAGGGGAGCCTGTCATTGCACCGGTCCTTGCAGAGTGCTTGCTTGGGCCTGCTAGTCAAATACCTTTGCTGAGCAATTAATAATTACCCGCCTACAAGTTTTCCCTGGACCAGCTTGGTGCGGTGATGGAGCTGGAGTGGAAGCGGGGCGACAGCAATGTAGAAGCTAACCTTCCAGAAGGCATTGCAGTTTGTCGTCAGCAAGCAATCTTCAACGAGGAGCAGGTGACACAAGGCAAAGTCAAAATTGCACAAGCGGTCAACAACAAACTGCCACACATGAGCTGAGACAGCCCCGCATTGCCTTTAACAATCTCGCGGTTCTCCAGCCGCATCGGGCACCCAACCCGGCAAGACAAATGTTAAGCAACTGCTCGACTGAAACCAAACACAACCGCGCATCAGCACATGCGCAAGATCCACCGGCTCCATACACCCTCGGCTCCCCAAACCAGCTTGAGGGACCCTTCCCCGGGTCGACTTTGCGACCATACGTTCAGCCTAAGACTCCATTGTTGTGATGGTAAGGCGGGCCCCATTTGCGACAAACCGTGTTCATATATAGTATATACACGTCCATGTCTTCGTCAATGTTCAACCCTACAGTTGGGATTTGCATACTATCTGCCAACATTGTTTTTCCAAAGGGCAACTTTGGAAGTTGCTACCAAAATGTAACCATGTATCGGGGTGAACTACATTTCACCTACCCGAAATAAAGGGCACCTCGCATGAAATTCACCTTTGTCATGAGTAAGGTAGCAGCAGGTTGAATGCATTCCGCTTTCGCTCTAGCCATATCATTCTGTGTTTTCCTGCTGGAGCCTTCGAGGCATCTTGTGCATGTTTAGCAAGGTTTCCCCGCAGACACTCGCACAAGGGTAGCCGTGCCTGGAATGCCTAAACAATTGTCTACCCATGTACTTCCCCATGGGGCTTGGCAATCCTTTCAGGGCTTGAAGCAAGCCTCTTTAGTCGACAACAAGCAGGCAAGCAACTCCAAAAGGACCCCCCCCAAACAAACCCCCATCCCCCCCAAACCCCCTACCCCCGAACCCCCAACCTCCTACCCCCAACCCCACTGCACACCTGTGGTTTTGTTTGTCAACCTGCTGCACCCACTTGTTGAAGCAACTGTGGCTGCTGGCCAGCAGCTTCCGAGCGCATTTCCGCACAGGAGACCCTTGAAGGCAGCCACTCGTCTCTGGGTGCACGAGGTCCAAGGTCCAGCTTGGCCACATCACCTCCCTTAAATACTTCCCAGATCCCAGTTACCACTATAGTAGGTAACCACCCATTCTCCTTTTGAGTTCTTTAAGGGTGCTGGCCTTGGTTGCCTATACTGGGAAATGGAATCCTCGTGTTGGAACGAGTAAAAGGGGGTTGCGTAGACACTGAGCCAGCCAGTCCCAGTCGCGCCAACGTGGCGGGCAGACCGCGTTTTGTAGAACGAAGACATCGCCGGCCGGGCCTCAGCTTTTGTACCAACTGGACTAATTACCCCAGTTTGGGTGAGGACTCAAACCGATTCTTTGCTAACCGGTCAACTTCTCCCATGTACAGCCTGGACATCTTAGCTGGATTTGGGTTCTCCAACAGGGCTCTGCTAAAAGCTGCGGTTGACGGTAGCGTGCCAAAGATGCCAAGCATGAAAGGAATGCTATGGGGCAGTGCCACGGTGCTTCAGGCTCAGCCGTGCGTTTTTGGCACGCGCGGAAGTGCCTGATGAAACAAATCCAACTGCCAAAAGTGCCTGTCATGTCATGGCCTGGGGTCACAATCAGAAAGTGTCTTTCCCCAGTTTCTGAGAGCCAGCAAGCCTCAAACCGCCTTCTGTGCAACATGCAGGGCAGTCTCCCAGGCGCGAAGGTAGAACAATGGTACCTGAAAAAGGAAATCCAAAGAAACCCGCATCAGCTTTCTGCCGTTGAGGCCTGGTCTTCCTTTAAAGGCCGGGAGCGACCTGAATCCTCTCTCTGGTCTCAACTAAAAACATAATCATTAGTGGATGGCTTTCAAGTTTTGAAAGCATCCTGTGAACCCTCATGTGAGGCGCTTTCAGTCATACCCTACCTTGACAGATTCCAACTGATGGTTTGTGGTTGTTCATCATTCGAAAGAAAACAATCTTTGCAATACACATGTACATATACATATATATATAATACACATATATTTGTATACAGACACAAACCACCAGCACATGTGCATTCATTACTTTTTCACATACAGTACAAACATATGGGCGTATGGACATACATAGATATTAGATATCTGACTCATCGGTTGTCTTCATGGGGTGGGGTGGGGGCGACGGCACCTTGCACCCGCCCCCAAAGGCATATCTGTTGCAGGCAGGTCTCTTTCCGGCACCGCCCACCAGAGCTGACCAGGCCTACGCGCGTGGAACAGAAACTCTCGAGCCCTTGGCGCCTGCGCCTTGCTTTGCATTTGTTGGAGCCTTCCAGGAAATGGCAAGATCTGGGGTGACTAGGTTTGGGGTTGCAAGATCTGGATTCTCATTTCGCGTTGCTTTGGCGAATAGACACAACCCCAGGTCGGGTGCAAACGCTGCGTAAAATGGAAAGTACGCTTGTGGTGTCCAAAAAGACATGACAGTGACGCCACCCATTTTGGAGGGGTTGCTTGATGTTAATGCAACCAATTAAATATACTTAGGCTGTTTCTTATTGATTCCTGAACGCCTTCTGGTACAAGACTTCATCCGCCTGGGATAAAATGTCTTCAATGGACGTGACCTCGCAGGATCTCACCGGCACGGGAGTTAGGCTCCAAACCATTCTCAAATTGATTGGCATCATGCAGCAAGGCCACCCTAGGATCAGCTGGGTGCACAATTTGCCGTTTTTGTGCGTTTCTTGGTGGCACTGTACAGCATATATGTATAACAATACAGATAGTACCTTTCTTGATGAATCAAAGCCCTGGATCGACATCAACTTTGGCTGTCTGGTGCCGGGCTTGAAGGCTACCCTTTTGGTTGCTGCGCCACGGACACGTCAAAACGAGAGCGGATTGAAACCGAATGCCCAAGGTTGAACCTTCTGGGCCGTTACTGAAGTGATGAGAAACAGCTCTTTCCAAGCAGTGCAGCAAGTGAAATGTCACGCAAGCCTCTTGTACCCCGACCCGCCACGAGTCATTGCCTTGCTTGAACACAGGAGACCCAGGTGGTCTGCATTGGTTTCAGCTTCCTTTTCAAGCTACTAACAGTGGACAGTGGTCAGCCCCGCCAACACAAAGGATGCATATGGTCTCTGTTTGGAGTCCCAACAGGAGAACCACGGGGACAGGGCGTTTGACCTCCAGACCTTCCTCAAGGCTATAGGCGAGTTCCGCCCCGCCTGTCGCGAGCACTTGACGCAAACACCTGGGTTCCATCGAAGGTGAGGTAGGCTGAGGTCTTTTTGTTCAAGAGCCTCGGCCCAGATCGCACGGCCTAAAAAATCCAGAGCACTTGCCATTTCAAAAACCGGAGAAGAGAAATGAAATAAAGGATGGCTATAATAGATCGATGTTTCCACCGTGGGTTCACTCATGTTTCATTCATGTGCAACTCAAATAAGCCTGTGAATTCAAGCTTAAGCTACAACCTAAGCGATAGATCGCAAACGCAGCAAACACACAATACAGCGACAAAAGCAAGTTCACACTGGCTCCTGCAGCCTCTAATTTGTTCATGGAGCTGATTCAGACCACAAATGCTTCAGGCATGGGCCTGACAACGAACGAACCACCTCAGCTTCCATTGTCACCGCTCCAGGCTACTGGAAAGGTGACAAGATGAGGCCAAGGGGCTTCAACTCATGGCGGCATATGACATATTTGCCCATGTTGGTCCTTGTTTCCCTCAAGTTGCTGAGTCCTTCGGCCCTGATTCTTGGTCCATGGCATGTCCGCGGACAATGACTTTGAACACCTCTGCAGCTGCAAAGGGTCCCCACTTGGATCTGGCATTTCAAAATGCATGGACAAGGTGCCAGGAAACATGATGTGTAAATTCGCCAGTCCAGGGAAGTCGCATTTGCAAATCGCGCCATGACATGCATAAACACAAACAGAGTGACTCTGCCAAACAACACCAGCAGGTGGGGACCTGCTCAATTATTGCTGGCAGCACTGCGAAGCCAAGAGGCAGGAAGGGATGCATCATGGAGCCTGCGGTGGTGCACGGCCTTCCTTTTTTTTCCGCTTAGCCGCAGGGCCAGGGCGGGCTTTTTACGTGACACATCTTGGGTGTCGCCAACTAGCAACCATCAAACCGCCAACCGCCAACCAGCACTCGAACCAACCGTGCGGATTCTTTGTTCCCTTCAAAAAGGTCCAAACCTATGAGGTTCGAGCAGTGGCTGTCATAGACCCAGACCTGTGTCCTTGCTCTTATCGTTTGGGCAGCCCCGGACGCTTGTTGGCCGGCCAGCTTTGAATCAAATGTTGCGCATGCAATGGTTAAGCACCTCGTTGAGAGATCTTTGGGTCGGTCATGGTGTCGGAACTCCTTCTCCCACGGGACTGAGACCATTTGGAGTGAGACTCAAGAAAAAACTGGCAAGTATTCAGCCGATGTCGGAATAGCCGGCCCTCACACCACGCAGTTGTATGACCCTAGTTCACTTTCGCCCTGGAGCAATGCAAAGGGCGAAACTTTCAGGACGTGAGTCCTCTAAATTGTGTGACTCTCTTTCAAGGGGTGCTGATTCCGCAATTGCTCTTGCAGAATGTGGACAGAAATCATGGGGAATCGTGTCAGTTCGTTTTTGTTTCTCGGACATTGCAGAATCCGCATCCCTTGAGAAAGAGTCTACACTGACTTCCAAGCCAGCTGGGCTCGGTCGGCGCGCCTAGCGGCTGTAACGGGCTCCAGGTTGCTGTGCCGTCGGGGTAGAAAAGAACATCTCCTCGGAAAGGGAAATGGCACCTACGAGAAGTGGGTCGGTCTCATGGTGAAGCCCCTTGGATGGCCCACCACAACCCTGAACCCCAAAGTTAAGTGATTTTAGTTCAAGGCAATGGCAAAAACCTGTCGCATCTGCCCAAGAAAGCCCAGCCCAACTTTGAAAGACACACAGCAAATAAACACTGTCACAATCACACAGCCAAAGACTTGTGCTAGTCAGTCCCAGCAACACCCAAATGAAGGCCAATCCATGTTGTTGCGTATGCGCATGCACCAAAATTGAGGCTCCCGTTGGTGCAACCAGCCGATGCCGCAGGGATGAGGCGAACCCCTGTTGGCATGAAAGAAGACGCAGCACTTCGATGATGTGTATGTTGGCTCAACATGAATTCCCATGTGTCCAAAAGGCACAACCATTTGGCGCCGTCACAAAACAACGTCTGGGAAACTCGAAGGGAGAAACTCCGGCTTTGAAGAACAATGTAAGATATTCGCGGCGGACCACGCCAAAGGATACATAATTCGGGTGTCCGCCACCCAAGCGTTGACCTCTATCAGCCAACAAGTGTAACTGCCCTTCCCAAGGGTCACGCAGAGGTCGGCTTTTCTCAAACGCAAGCAGCCATGATAAATCACGTGAAGCAACCGCAAGCGCCCATGGAAACGGCATCATCTGCTATAACAAAACACCCAAAAACACCAACAGGATCCCCCCAAACGTTAAGCCTTCGTTCTTTTGCCAGGAGATCTCAGTTGCTTTCTGCTCCCCTGCTAACAGTTTAAATTTTAGCGGTTTTAATTGGACAAATTCTAGTTTGGCAAAAAGTGAAAGTCCTAACATCCAAGCAACATGTACCAAAGAGATCTTTGCAGTTGCCCATCCAGCTACCGAAGAGTGCCACGTGCAACTCCGCTGAAAACTCCCCGAGGCGCGGTAGGTCTTCCCCGCTTTGATGCGCTCCGCCGAGGCGGAGGGCTTGAAGCACCGGAAGGCCATCCGCACGTCCCGCACGCGGACCTCGGATTCGGATGGCCCAAACCGAATCCGGGGCCGCGGGAGCGGAGTTGACGCGTGACTTTGGAAAGACCCGCAAGGTGCGGTGGGCAAACCGAAGCAGACGTCGACAGGCTTCTACAACATAGCTGTAGGGAATCGAAACCATGGTACGAGCAACTCCGCTGATTGCATGACGTGGTGAAACACTAAATACAGGCAATGCCGTTCAGCCTGCACATGTGCAAACAGCTTGCCCACCTCGCTGATTCTTGAGGTAGAGCGACCAGAATGCCAGGTCGTCCGCCAGTTTTAACCACATGCAGGGCAAGTTGCCATGGGCGACAAGGAACTGCCCTATTTCATTCCTGAACAGCAAGACGGTGCTGGGGCACCCAATGTTCCCATGCCCGCTTGGGTGAACACGCAATTTCGTGTGTGGGTGCACTCGAGCAGCCGAGAAGGACGGTTGGCCAGCAGCCGGGCAGGCTGGCTGGCACTGCAACCCTGAATTCTACTTAATTGCAGCGTGGCCGAGCTCGGTGTTTAAGATCTTAGTGAGCTCGGCTGAGCCTGTTTTAACTTGCCCTGAACATTCTGCAAATTCCCTCATTGCAACTTCCAGCCAAGAAACGGCAGATGCGTGCACCACCTGGCGAGGGGCACCCGTCTGAGCGATCTCAAGAGCATTGCCCATTTTCCATGTGGATGGGATGTTTCTTTGGTGAGAGCACGTTTTGAGCTTTGTTCGAGGGCAACGCAAAAAACAACGTGATGTTTGAGGCGTCCTCATCTCGAGACAAACCAATGTGGACGGTGGAAAACTTCAAGCAGATCTCAAACAAATCTTGATGAAAACACGTGACAGTATTGACAGAATGGACCAACCATTTCACACAATGCGCGGGTTATAGCAAGCATTTGTCTGCTTCACAGCCAAGCATTGAGCATGGCAGCACTACTTCAAGACTACAAGCTGCCAACTGCTCTTAATCAGGCGGAGGTGCCGCCATGCCGGCGACGCTGCTCACGCCCTCTGAGGCCACAAGAGAAGATCCGGCTGCGACCGTTAGCCTCGGTAGTACTCCACTGCGAAAAAGCTGGACTGACGTTTTGCTTCAATCACGCTACCCGAAACCAAAATCATGTCTGAAAAAAACAAGCAATAAGCTCACACGCAACATCATGCTTTAGAAGCCAAAAGAAGCTTCTGAAAAACCACTATCAACCATATGGGAACTGCGAATTCTCCCTCCATCCCCCCAATCCAACTGCCCCCCCCCAAAAAAAACGAAAACCAGCCCATCAAGTATTCAAAGCAACAAAAGAAGCAAATCCTTCCGTGGAGCACACGGGTCCTGCCCCAAAAAGCCGACCGAGTCGAGTCGCGCCGTGGAGACCCCGGCCAGCGCGCTGCCCAGGCCCCAGGCGCCGGCGCTGGCTGCCGCCGTGGCCGCCGCCGCCTCCGCCGTGGTCGCCGCCTCGCGTGCCGTTTGACGCGGGGAGAACGCCTGAAAGGCCCAAGGAAAAAAAAAAAAAAAACTGGGGACAGGAGGAGACTGGATTTGTGGGGAGGGAGACTCGATTTGGAGGGAGGGAAACGAGATTTCAAGGGAGAACGACTACAACTGCCTGAAGGAGCACTTGGATGTATCACGGCGTTTAACAAATATTGTGATTTAATTCGTAGGTGGGATTTCTGGAATTAGAACTCTTTTACTAGCATGATTGAAGATGAGCAACGAAACAGGCAGCCATCCATAGCCTGGTTGCTTCAAGGCCAGAGTCTTTCTTCCTAGAACAGGCTGCGGAATGGTGGCGAGCTTGACATACATGTGAACATCGAAAACAGATTAACAGATCAAGGGATGAATGGAAGCGAAGTAGGCTCTTCCAGGCACACAGTGATTTGAGTGTGGCACGCTGCCTGTTTTCGATCAGGTAGTGGCAGTGACGTACCGCAACCGTTCACTCCACCCCCCCCCCACCAGGCCCCCAAAACAAAAAGAAAAGGGTTGAATAAACAGAGTCCTCCAAACTGCTTCAGCTGCTGCCACAACGAGAGGAAGCCAGGATGAACCCTCCCAAAGAGACCCCCATCTCCACCGAAGCGCTCCAGCCGCCGCAGAGGCCGCTGCCGACATCTGCCCGAAACCGAAGGCCCAGGCCCACCTCGATCGCCCGTGAGGTGTCTTTCCAAATGCAGGTGGTACTCTTTGAAGGGTTTCCCTCATAGGGACAAATTGGTCCGACACTGCCAAAATGTGTGCCCCAGTCGCAAAATCGCTAAAAGAGGCTGCCAACGAAGCACTGCCGTCATATTGACCCGTTCGATGGATTCAACTTGAGCATTTGCTTGGAACAGTGCCAAAGGCTTGCTTTGCATTTCTCAAATGGACGAAAGTGTAACACCATGTTCTTGTAAGGCATGCACAGCATGTATGGTCTGCAATCGTGCAAGGCCTGAGGCATGTCTCAAATCAATACTGCCCAACTTCGCAATGCCGAAGAAGCAGCAATGCCGCCTCTCATGGCTGCAGTTTGCAAGTGCTTCAAACCGCAATACATTCAGGATGTGGCACCACAAACATCGCGAAAAGGGAAGCTTGCTTCCAATATGTGCCAACTCTTTCGTCTTTGCTTGGGTGGCTTCGAAAGTGTTAAAGATCACCAAAATGTTCGGGCGCTATGCAAATCCCAACAGGTTATATAAGTTCTAAAATTAAGATTTGTCTACCAATTGGAACTATCTTCATGCTTCGATGGGATACGCTGGTTTTCCTACGAACATGATAATTCCAGCCTGGTGGCAGGATCATACCTTTTGAACATAATAAGTACGGTAGTCCCTTTGCCCCTCAGTTCAGTGCGAACTCTATACTTCCCGAAGGACATCTTCCCGCTTAGGCAAGGAAGTCCAGACATGCTCCCAATAAGGTAGTCCAAAAAGGGCCACACCGCACTCAACAAAGTCCTCAACTGCACACAGCCAGGATGCCAGGAGTTCGCAGCAGCCGCCGCCGCAGCTGCCTGTAGTCGAGACAGGAGTAAAATCGGGAGGGGGGGTCCGCCTGCCTTGCCTTTTTTGAAGCAAGCACACCGGCCTGCGCAAGCCAAGGATATGCCTCGATCAGTGGCATGCATCAAACTTTCCTAACATACCTGATGATCCCCACCTTCGCAACCCATGCGCTAAAACTATTTGACCTCGGTGCATTTGCCGAGATTTGCCTGTCCATATATCAGGCGTATCAGACAAGGCTTGGGGGGCTTCCTATGGCTTGGGCCTGTTCCATTGGCTGTGAGCCAAGTTTGTCCTAGCTGTCGTCTTGTCACCCGTGGACGAGGCTGTCAGTACCTCACAACCGCTGCACCTAAGGGAGCAAGTCGGAGCATCATTGGCAACCCCGTACCCAGGCATAATATATACATTCCAAATGAAGTATTTACTGATATATGTACTTTACATGCAGAAAAAATACCGTTGCATCTACAACAAACCGTCTTGCAGAGCAAAGACATACATCTCTCCCTTTCCGCGCGCCCATCCCCCCCGCGCGTGCGGCGCCCATCCCGCCCCACCCCCCGCGCCTCGGCGGAGGCGGCCCCGGCCTCGGCGGCCGCCACGGCAGCGGCGGAGGAGGCGGAGAGGAAGACGCCGAAGGCCACAGCGGTGCCCACCTCACAGGCGCCCCGAAGGTCCGAAAGCGGCGCGTGGCTTTCGAGCGAGCGAACAGCGTGAGCGGTTTTTGGATGGGTTTGCATGCGCATGTGAAAGACGAAACCCACTTTTGGATGGGGGTTCAAAGGATTTTGTTGGAGTTGCTCGAAATGGCAGGGCCGTCTTCTTGGTTGCTATTTGAGGGGAACCACTTTTGGTGGGGGAAAAAGCCCCAAAGGGAATGGAACCTTAGACATGGGACAGTTTCCCAGAAAACCTGACCCCCCCGCAAAAACTAGAGAGCGAGTGACCTGGATGCACAAGGCAGAACGCCCAGCATGCTCTTCCCAACGAAACGAAGGCAGACAGGAAACTTACGTGGGCAACGTCTTGTTGCGGCAGTTTCTGTCACTCCCTGTTCGTACGTTTCAGTGGGCCAAAATTGGACACTTCGTGCCATCTAGCAAGCCCCTTAATTTGTTGATCGTGTCAGGGTCGTTCTGATTGCCAGTACTCTCATGGAGCCACATTGTGACTGGTACTGCCATGGATCGCTCCAAGGGTCTTCCTGATATCAAAAAGTGCAGGACAGTTGCTGCCGCACTACAGATTCTTACTAACACGTGACAAAGTCGTTTGATGGCAAAGACCAAGTGGCGACGCCTCTAGAAAACATGTTCGGGGCCGACCTCACCTCATCTACGTAGGCATTCGACATACATAGCATGAATCTTCTGTGAAAACTCTCAAACAAACGAGGATCCGAAGACAAGGTCAAGCAAGGCTACAATTTCAAAACAAGAAAATAGCTGGCAAGGATCCATCCTCAAGCCACATTTGGGAGAACATGCCCAGAGTTTCAAACAGCATGACAAATCTGATGTTATGAAAGCTAGAGAAAAACAGCACTTGGCAACTCCATCTCTCTCTCTCTCTGTCTCTGCTTTGCGCCGCTCCGAGATTCGATGAACCGCAAGCAACATCCACCAAGGGTGTGGACGACCAGGGGAATACAATGAAACAAGACTGGCGCAAGGCTTCAACGTGATTCAGGGACCGACCGTCCACAAGTAACTAAGCAAAGCTTCAAGAATCACGCCAACACGCAGACAAGAATCACTGAAAAGCAGCCTCACCTCACTTCCTGAGTGGTTTGGCCAAAAAGATGTCCAAACTTTCTATTTACCACCCAAACTGGTGTACAACGTCCCGAAACTCAGGGAGTGAGCCAGAAAAGCACTCACCAACACCCGCCCGTCTAAAGCCAAGCGGCAGAGCCTGCGGCCACCGCGCCGCCGATGGCCAATTTCTTGCCCAAGTCGCGGCGGGAGTGCCAAAGGCCTCGGACGCGGCCAGCAGAAATCGGCGGGAGACATGCGCTGGTTTTTATCTTGCTGGTGCTCAGTAGCTAGGTCCTCCAGTAGAGAGGTTAGAAGAAGGGTACCCTTTCTTTCTGTAGCCTGTTTTCCCTCCCCAAAGAAAGGGTAAAGGGCACGACTGGGGGACCTAGGTAGGGAATGAGGGAATCTCTGGGTTCATTCCCACATTCCCTGCTGAGCACCAGCAAGCTAAAACATGGGTACTCAATTCTGTTGCGGAACGATTTGGTGGGCATCATTTATATGATGATTCACCGTATGCAAACATAGGGCTCAAAAAGATGGTTGCTCTCCTTTTGGATTGCCTTTGAGAACAGCCCAAAACCAGGGTAGCATCGATTTCTTCCGAACAGGTTCAGCTCCCTTTGCAGACATGGAAACTGCACATGACTTCATGCTCGCCTTCCATCGGTCACTTTCCACTTCTCTCCCAAGTGTCCAGTCTCATCACTGGCCAGGTGGGATCCCCATGCCTTTTTGAAAGCAAAGTGAGACCTTCACAACTTCAAATAGAACGCAATCTTGCTCTTTCAAGGATTCCTATTGGGGAGCCAGCTCAATATCTGCTAATGGAGGCACAGGACCATGTTTGCCTGAGGATCTCAAGACATTTGCCAGCTGAAAGCCAATGTTTGAGCTGTGCACCTTACAGTAGGCGAGCTAGCAGGGCAGCGTCCAAAGAATAGCTCTCTTGCCCAAAGGTCATGACTGAAGTCATAGACCACAAAGGGCAAACTATGGGACAACTGAAAGGTCAAAAGTTCGGCTTTGGACAAGTGAGAAAGTCGGGAGGAAACAAACCATCTTGCCGATGGCTGCGCCGCAAATGCCTGTGAACTAAGACTGCGGCACTGCGCGTGATAGGGCCACTCCTAGCGGCGGAAGCAACCAGAGGCATTGTTGCCCCAGATTTAGGCTGTGACTAACTCTGTCAGACTTGGCATGAAGGCATCGTAAATGCTAATACGGAAGCTTGCAGCTGATCACTTCTGCCAGACTGACCCAATCGTGCCACCTTGCCTCGGCTGGTCAAAGAATAGCAGCACCCCTTGCATTTGTCAGCTAACATGAGTCTTCAACCGCTTGCAGCCTGATTTTGCACATGTTGGCTTTACTCTGCTTGTTTGACAGTTCTATTTATGGACGGCAACGGAAGGCAACAAACCGGCTAACCCCGAACAACACAGCAAATAAACCAACCCCACAATACATTAAGGAATGCAAGGCACGTAGGGAACATGAGACAAAACCAGAAACAAACGCATGCTGTGAAAAAACAAACACAAAACATGAACAAGCGCAAACAAACAAACAACCAATCAAGCAAACAAACTAGTAATCAAACAAACCACAAGCAAACAAACAAGCTAACAAGCAATCAATCAATCAAACAATCAATCAGTCAATCAATGAATCAATCAATGAATCAATCAATTAATCAATCAATCAATCAATCAATCAATCAATCAATCAATCACATCAATCAATCAAATCAATTCAATTCAACCCTATCCAATCCAATCCATCCATCAATCAAATGATCAATCAATCAAACAACCAACCAACCAAAACAATCAATCAAAACAGCCAGCCAACCAAACACACCCAGCAAACATGCCCACAAACAAACAAACAAACAAACAAGCAAGCAAGCAAACACGCAAGCAACAAACAAACCACAAAAACACATATCAAATATATAGACAAGAAAGCAACAACACACAAAAAACAACAACAACGAGCAAACAAACAAAGAACAAACATTTGTTGTCAACTAGATACACTGACAGTTAAACAAGCAAACCAACATACAAACAAACAAACAGACAAATAAACAATCAACCAACCAACCAGCGTGCCAGCCAGGCAGCCAACCAAACACGGCAACACACCAAGCAAACATATCAACAGACCAGCAAGCCAGCAAGCAAGCAAGCCAGCCAGCCAGCAGGCAAAACCAACAACCAACCAACAAACAAACAAACAAGCAAACCAACACACCAACAGCCAACAAACCAACCGACAAAACAACCACCTGCAAAGCCTACAGCCAGCAGAAATTGAAAACAACAAGCCAACAGCCAACAAACCAACAAACCAACAAACCAACAAACCAAGAAACCAACCATCCTACGTGCCTACAAACCAGCACACCTAGAAACCAACAAGCCAACAAACCTGAAAAGCAAGCAACAAACACACCACCAAGCCAACAAACCAACCAACAAACCAACCAACAAACCAACAAATCAACCAACAAACCAACGAGCAAACCAACAAACCAAGCAATAAACCAACAATCCTACGCGCCTACAAACCAGCACACCTCGAAACCAACAAGCCAGCAAGCCTTCAAAACAACCAATGAACACACCAACAATCCAACAGCCAACAAACCACAGCCAACATAGCAACCAAGAAAACAACAAAACAACAAACCAGCACACCTAGAAACCATCAAGCCAGCAAGCCTTCAAAACAACCAATGAACGCACCAATAAACCAATAGCGAGCAAACCAACAAACCGACAAACCAACCAAGAACCCAACAAGCCAACCAACAAAACAACACACCAGCAAATCAACATCGAAGATCTGAACAAACACCAAGAGGCAAGGGTCAAGCACCTCGCCCCCTCCTCGTGGAAGGGCACAAGGTTTGCCTGCAGGAGCTCGTGGATAAACGCGGCCCTGCGAACCTCCCGGCTGAATGGACACAGCGACGGAAAAAGATCAACGACAAACGGGCACCAGAGAGGACAAGCTACAGTGGATCGATAGGGGGTATCCCATGTTTCGCGAATCCTTCATCATTGGGGCAAATGCCCACACAAATCCGGGCTTACCAATCTCCCAAGTGAAGTCAAATAGACTGAAGCCCAAGTAAAACCGAAGATGTAAAGGAACATGACTCATGACCTTGCAGGCTATTTCAATACCTCAATCCGCCCATTGATACAAACTACATCCCAAAATTGTTCTTAGGGTGCAAGGGATGCGTCCTGAATTTGACTGGCCTTCGGTCTTGTTCAAAACCCAGCAGGGAGGCGGCTCTCCAAACGCACAGCCAAAGAAGCTCGAAAACTCAGAGTATATTAGACAGGAAGGGATGATCAAAAACCACAGTTCCTTTTCAAACCCCATCTCACTTCACAAACTTGACCTGTGAACCACTTGGAAGGATCCCTGGTCACCTGGCTGCTCATCAGCGCAGCAAAAATCCTTCCTTCATGGGGAGGCGGGTGGGGTGGGGGGGGCAGAATGCCGCGAGAATGAGACTGATTTCATTTGAGGGTGAGCGATTTCCTCAATCCCTGACAAGTCTACTCACTCGGACATGTGCTGTGGGTCACAACATTGCAGAGAACATGCTTGTTGTACATGTAGCTGCTGGATCTTACAAACTCTTGTTGGGCCATCTTGAACTGAGTGGGTGCTGCTGCAAACCAGCCAAATAGGCTGCTTGTGGTGCTGTTCAAGCAATTGTAGATGTTTGGTAATCCCATGTCGAACTTTGGCCCTTGACACATTCTTGGCTGATTGTTGCCTAGACTTGCAGAAAGGGTCCAACTCTGAATGTTCAGACAAGCACGACAAGCACGACAAGCGTGGAGTGACATTCTAAGGTCAAACGAAAGAGCCAACCTTGGCGTTCCTAAGGCCACGCTTTGCACCCGCAGAGCTGCTCCCGCCGGGATCTCGACCGTGTGACTCTTCCAACATTTTCGTGGCGGCAGGCTTTCTCAGCGGACATAAGTCTGGGTGAGGTCTCCAAGTAAACCCAACATACACGATACACACCCGAACATCTCTTTGGCTGCTTCACAAGCAGAGCCGGGACAGTATTGGTCTACCCCGAGAGTACCGGCCGCCTTGCTGTTTCGCACGATATCTCCTCAGAGCAGCCAGGTGGTGTAGGGTGGTGTAGGGACATGCCAACATTCCGATCAATGCACGCCGTGCTACATTCAAGCCGTGCTAAGCAAATAAGGCCTGACATCCAAATCTGGACCATTGCCAGTATGCAATTGCCAGCCGAGAATCTCGCCACAAAGGCTTTTGCAAGGGATCTGCCCTGCTTTTCTGGTTCAATTGCACCGAAACTCCCGCCCAAAAAAGTGGTTGCATCTCAAGCAGAAGAGACCTACGGATTGGATGCATTTTCTGTGGAATCACGCTGCTTTCCAGTTTCTGGATGAACTTCATCAGTTGGGCAACTCCTTGCCCCGCTCACCAGCGCGTTTCTTGCACCACACAGCCTATGTTTTGAGTATCTCCACATCTCACTCTTTCTTGTGAGAGTGTCAGGGTTGGGAGGTTGTCCAAAGTAGGCGCAACCTGTATAACACCTGGTATTAGTTTGTCCTGACTATGTTTCAGTGGGTCGTTTGCCCGAAGAGATGTGGGTTTGGTGGGGCCCAGATGGTAAGGCTTTGGTCACACACACATTGCATGGATTGCCTTCTGGAACACATGGCATGCGCATCTGGACACTCTGCGATACTCTGCGTGCCGGTGCAGTCCAAGCGTCTCTTCAAGCCCGCAGTGTTTATCAGCAGTTCCTCAAAGGTGTTCCACTCCTCATGTCACAGTCGGGCAGGGACCAAAACGCCACTCGTGATGTACTTCACTATGTCGGCCACAGCAACAATCATTTAGCTACCTGCAGGAATGGAATGCAAAATGTTTTGGGACAAAGGGCCTGGCTTGAAGATTGAGCAGCCAGAGTCGTGGCGTTGATCCCTAAATACTTCCAAGGAAAGCATGCCCTTTGCAGACCTCGCACGTACAAAGTGTGGACGCCACTGCAGAACACTGCGCATGCGAGAAAGAGAAGTTTGTTCAAGTGTCTGTTCGTCTGCTGAGAGCAGCCAACCACGAATCGCCGCACATGTCGCCAGGGTCCCTGACTCCACGCTAAACCTCCAGACGTGGAGTTTTAATGCATACAAATATGTGTCAAAATAGAGGTACCCCCATACTGGACTTTTGGTTTCCCTTCAAAGCAAAAGGGGGCACTTACTGCCTGCCGTGAACTTGAAGGCAGCACCTGTCACATTCGACACGAATAGGCGCACCTGCTCAAGAACTCCATGGTGTAGTTCCATGAGCACATTTATAGAAGGCGCCCTCTCAGAGATACAGCTAAGAACGCTCAGAGGCGCCATTGGGCCTAAACGAATGGGGCCTCGCTCGCTCAGCATCATGGGCGCGTACCCCGAGCCTGGAGCCTTCACGCCACGGAAAAGGGGCTCCCCTTCAAATTGCTTCGACCAAGCGTACTTCCCCGCATTTCTTGGCGAGAGTCAAATTGTGGCTGGTCGCCACCTGTGAGCAGATTCTGCAGGGAATTCTTCGCCTGCCGAGGGAATTGTTGCGAGAGTCGACATCCAGTCAGTTGAAGGGAAGGAATAAGATGCTTGGGGGCCTAGGGATCCGGGCACCCAGGGACTGAAATGCGGCCTGATACCGTGGGCTTCACGGCTTCGCGTGGTTTCCATACACCCGGGGAAAGGCGGTTGTGCACACTCAGCTCATCACAAGGAATAACAAGGCTGTTGCAAAGACTATGTTGGGCAAGCTCCATGGCTTCAAAAAGACTGTCTTGTGCACAGGCAGGGTGCCTCCCCCGTTCTATTCCAACCGCGTAAATCTTTGTTTGCTTCCCCAAGAACTCTCATCATCACGTGGAGAACGACTGACATGGTCCAAAAGCACAAGCCAAGCGAAAAGGACGCAAGCAAAGTGAGTTAATTGCCTGCCAAGCAGCGCTCAGAATCACGATGGGTATGACCTGCGTCAGTTCCCCGCAATCCGCCAGCGTCCTTGTGGGAGCGAACGCTGTTCATGGCAGAGTCAAGCTTTAATTGTGGAGGTGACTATGTTTGAGCGACCTGTTGTAATTTTGGTTTGAACGGAACCAAAAGGAAAAACACATTTTATGGTTGGTAGCCCCATTTTGACACATACTCATGTGGGTTTGTTGGCAAGCCCCTGGGTTTCCGACGTGCCCCTGGGCTGCCTGATGCCCCACATAAATACACCATTGACTGGAGAAAAGGAAAGGGGGGTACTCCGGGGCGGAGGTTGAGCACAAAGTAGTCACATGGCCCACTTCGAATCACTTCAGTATCACAGAATCTAAAGTGATCCGAAGTGGGCCATGTGACTACTTTGTCACTTGAAAGGGGATTCCCTTGGTATGGGGGAGAAAAACAACCTGAAACATGAACTTTCATACACATTTCAGGCTTCCACGCGATGCAGGGGTCCCATGCAAGCAATTATACATTCTCCCTTCGGGCTAGTGCCAGACACTTCTGATTTCAATCCGAGGAGTCGCCGTGTTTCTCCCTTGACCAAGAGGGTGAGAAAAAAAAACAATTAATTTCACGAAGATGGGTCAGGTGCCTGTGCATCCTATCCACAGGATCTTGCGGGTTGCCTTTAAAACAAATAAAAAATAACTACATATCAAATAAATTGTTCGATCCCGGTCCATTTTTTTGAACTTTAGCTTTTTTAGTTGAACCCAAGGCCACTCGCAGGTCCCAGGCGCGCATGCAGCACCGCGCGCAGGCTCTGCCGGAGAACCTCCCAGGACTCCCCAGGAGCTGCGTCCAGTACTTGGTCCACCTGGGCGAGGGCTGAAATCGATCAGGTTGGCCTTTCTTGGTATGAGCTTCTTCATAGGGAACCAACTCGCCAGTGGTTGGTGGACATGAATCACCACCCAACTGATGTCAGGGTCCCGAATTAAAAAACAAATGGCATCGCTGGTACTTTGGATTGGTGGTTTGGGGGTTTGAAGCCGGGTTTCTTGTAGAGGGTGATGTGCCGAGAAAGCCCGACCAGCAGGAAAACAAAGGGACTTGTCAAACCTGGACATTTCCGCGCTGCCTTTCTCAAAGTCTGGAATGAAACCAAAAGCTCAGGAGAACGCCTCGCGCCTGTGTGATGGCCAAGATCAGAGGACAAATGTCTCTCCTCGCCAGCTCGTCGCTGAAGTGATAAGGTGCCTTGCGTCAAACGCAGTGGCAGTGGGCATGCACCCTGAAGCCAAATGCCAGGTTTATGCGTCCCAAGCGAGAACTACCATGCATGGGGAAACGAAGAAGCTATCAGCTTGTGCGCATGTTCACTTTCGCACAGCTGGGAAACAACAAAAGAACAACTATAAATATATTCAAATAAAGTTTGAAGGATACGAAGGTGATACAAATAGCCGGCATCCACAATCCTGCACATGACGGATTCAACAAAATGCGCGCTTACATTCAGCTCACACTTGCACCTAGGGGGGGGTCCTGCTGTTTGATCTTCCTGCCATGTCTCATGCAAATCTCCTCACTAGCCTGCGCTTGCGTCGGTCACATCCAAGCATGATCATTGATCATGACTCCCGCATTGATTTGAGCGTTGGATAGCGCTAGCTCCATGCCCCCCCCGCCCCCGCCCGCGGCATAGAGTGGGGCCCTTCAAAAACAGGAACTAGGATCCTGCAGTCAGAATGCTCGGTTATGCACGGTGGACAGAGGTTTTCCAGCCTTGCACCTGATGTCCAGCAAGAGCTGCTGAGTTGCCCTGGAGGTGATCTGATCGTGCCTCAGCTTCAGTAAGGGTCGTATGAGCCGCGGTTGGAACTCATTTTGTCGGCCGCATTCGTGGCATCCCTACTCTTCCCAATCCAACCCGTCTTTTGACACATGGGTATGATGTTAAAACTAGAAAACCTGTGTTTCCTTTACAACCATGAAGCAGGGGATTCCCTGTTTGACAACGCACCATTAAGGATATACGCTGAAATGATCCGCTATGCACGTGCAACCATCCCGACGAGGCCTGAGGGGATCCCTTCATCCAGCTTTCCGGCAAGCGCTTCCCGCACTCCCAATTGACCCCCGGTTTCTGCTCGTGTACCACGATGTTTGTTTGTCGAAGGCAGAACAAAAGAGGTCCATTCGGACATTTCAGCGTGGATTCACGGCTCGAATTGCCATTCCAGAACTGGCGATGAAAGGCCAGGCCCTGCCATCCCCTCTGCTTTGTGTGTCAGATCTGAGTTTTGGCATCCAAATGGTTGGTGTGCCCCTTCCAGGCTTTCCTCCTGTAGCACACAACCTTTATCTGGGTGAACCATGATTATTCACCAATCTAAATCAAGGAACTTCTGAGTAAGGAACCTTCATCATGGGTGATCATGGGTGAGGCTGTCCCCCCCATTTGTGAGGTCGCCACAATTGCACAGTGCGGCCAAAGCGGCCGGATGCAAACGATGAGTCTGTGTGACAAAGCGTACGCCAAGTCCGAACAGACCTAGCCACAGCTCGATGAGATGCAGCTAGCCCAGAGACCCGAAAGATAACATTAGAAAGCAAGAGCCGTTTCTTCTTGGGATTGACCACGCTTAGTAGGAAATCACCAAAATACTAAGGCTGAAGGGTGCCACTAAAAGGTGGGAGTACGCTTGTGCTGACATACTTTGCCTCTGTTGCAGAATTACGGACGAAGGGTAGTAATTAAACATGCGCTGATTCTTCTTTGCATTCGTGCTATGGGGGCATTGACATATTAAAGGCCAAAAGCAACATGCCAAAAGCAGTGACTTCGCCGAATTGCAAGGCACACTTCCCTCACGGATCTGGGCTGAAACTCCTGAAATGGCTTCTAGCACTACTTGGGCCGTCCTGCCTGGACAGCCGGGTTCAGGATCTCGTTTGCGCCTGCAAAGCAGCACATCTGCTTGCCGAAACATGGCAAGATGGTGCATTGAATCACGCAAGTCCTGATTGCACCTGAGGTCCATTACAACCCCTCTCCTGACATGGGTGATGCCGTCAACAAAAGGGATGTTAATGGTTTTAAACTATCCCCAATAAACATCAATAAGCTCGTACCAAAGGTGTTTCGAACAAACAAACGGTGAGGTCTGCTTCATCCTTGACCCACCCATACTCCAATAGGTTCCATCAGTAGCCAATGAGAATAGGCTCCGCCAAGCAATTGATTGCAACGACAAAGGTCAGGAAAGCTCGACTCATCAGTAGACCGTGAGAAGGCAATGGCAAAAAAATGAGGGTGGGTTGAGAGCCCGTTAAAAATACAAATAACTAAAACAATCCCAAATCAAAATGATGGCTTTCCCTGTTCCCGGGCGGAAGTAGCCTTGCCTCCGATGTCCAAGAACTGGACATCTTGCCATTCAGCAGCTGGAGGATGGAAGACATTCAACGAGTCCTGGGGATTTGCCGATCAAAGCAAGCAGCCAAGCCTTAGGCGGTTCTAGGGGCGGACCTGAGATGAAACAGGGCTGCCAAGGATTCACTCAGACTCAGACCCAAGGATCTGTAGGAAGCTTTTGTTTTCGTTTGCCAAGGAATATCAGAACCCTGCGACTCGGCATCTGTCCCGCAGGGGGCATTCCAGTCGGCATTCGACGCACTGGACGCCCAAAGCAGCTCTGGCGCGGAGGTTCAGATCGTGCAGCCGTTGTCGGACCTTGGTCGAGCGCGACGCTTTGCTCGTCCAGAGTATCAAGTTTGATGCCAACAGTCTTCATTCGTCTTCCTTTGCCTTGTTGGAGCCGCCAATCCAGTCAGCTCTTTGCATCTCTCTTTTTGTAAGCAAGGCACCTATGCAGCAACATCCATTACGGGGAGAAGGGTCTGGCTGACAGAGGTTTGCTCGATTGCCACGCAAGCTCAGAGGGTTTGGGTGATAACAAGCAATCTCGCAGCAGGCTTGGTTGCGAGCCTACCCGCTCACGTCTTGCACTTACTGTGCCTTTTCTCGGTGCCAAATAGTGAAAGGAGTGGACCAAAAGTCTGCACGGATTTCTGAAAATCAAGCCTCTAGTACGACTTGATTGCCGGCTCAAAGCTCCAAATGCTGGCAAGCGCTTGTTGTTGCGAGCAGGTGTCAACGTTCTAAAGACAAATATTCTGCCAGCAAGACTGCTCAACTCCCAGCCCAAGCCAACCACAGACTTGTTCGTTCAACACAGCTGAAGAACGAGGACAAGCACGCCCTCTTAGGCTTTCCCGAGGCAATCAACCCCAAACACTAACGGAGGTTTGCACCAGCTATGGTTCAAACACTGATGGAGGTTTGCACCAGCTATGGCCCGACCTCTCTGCGAACCAATCGTTTTGCTGGCACTCTTGGAGACGTATAAAAGCCAAGTGGAGACCCTGTCGTTTTTCGTGGGCTGGCGACTGCGTGCGGCAGTTGAACCGACATAGAACATCTAGAATAACAGCAGGAGCATTTATCCGGATATAAGTCCGAAAAATCTGAGACAAACATGAACGCACACAGACATTGTTCTAGCTGTGGTCCCCTATGTAACAGCGCAAAACCTCGTTGTGGTAGCTTTTCCAAAAAGGAAAAAAAACAAGTGAACAAAGTGGGTCTACGGTCTTCCGGCTCTAGAACCATGCAAATGGCGTTGCTTCTCAATGGGCTCCTCTCTCAAAAAGATCACAAGATTCCCCGAATCAAAGTAAACAAAGGTCGGTGCCGCCGTCGGTGCCCCTCTTATCACAGCCGCAGCCGTCACTCCGAGTGGCCTCCTCTGTGCCCTCCACCGGCTCGAGGTCCGCGCCTCCGTAGCAACGCCTCGGCGAAGCGGTTGACGTCGTTTGCCCATCCTATCGCATCATGTCACGTGCAAGGATTGGCGCACTTGAGACAGTTGCAAATGGCCTCGCATCACAAAGTCATGGTACTTTGCAAAATCATGTTTGCTGTGTACCTTTGTTTGCTGTTATGTTGAAAAATCAAGGCCGTAGATCACCGCACGTGCAAGTTCGCCTCCACAACCCGGGAAGAATAAGATGGGGCGTAGCCGTTTGGTAGTTCAAGCCAACCTCCAATACAGGTACCTTCCACAAGAGGCAACACCGTATGGGACCTAGCAGCCTTTCCGGTTCACTGAGCGCTGGACAGCACGGGCTTCGAGTCGTTGCCTGGAGCGATAGCCCTTTGGGAGTGGGATGATGGCACCGGTTTCAAGAAACTGGTGCAGGTTCTAGCCACAAAGCGAGAGGGCCCTGAAGAGAACTCATTCCGAGATCGCTTGTCCGAACGGAACCGCGAGACGGTCTAAGGCTGAAAAGTCGCAAGTCAGCTCAGAAAACTACGCAGCATGACTTTCCACAGAAATGCTGCTACACTAGAGCCTTTGAAACTTCTGCTTTCAACATTGTGCCCGGGGTCAGAGTTCCACTTGCAAACGATGGCGTAAGAGAATTGCGCCAGCCCGTCTTGCGGAACTGGGGTTTCCACAGTCTGGGGTCAGGCGGTTGCGTTGGATGTGTTCCCCCCCGACCCCCCCCCCCAACCCCAATAAAACATGTTGTGTCACGGTGCGGGCAACTGCTGGCCGTTGACCCAGTAGTTGGCTTCTGTGTGTTGATGTGCAGAATTGCCTTTTGGCAACTTAAGGAAGACTTCCACAAAATACATCATGCACGTTGTAAAGTCAAGTTGGCCAAGTCAAGAAAGTAGCCATCATCTTCCGGATCACTGTGTTGCCGTACCACACCTTCAGATTGGCATTACCGTGCATTGACACAGTGGTTGGACCAGCTTCTGCGCGGAAAGGAAGCAAGCATTGATTGTGGTGAGCCTATCTGTGTAAACAAAACAGGGGCGACAAACACATCTTGTGTGTGGCACGAGCTTGTGTGTGTGTGAGAGGGCGGGTTTGCCTCTGTGCAGAGTTCCTATCCGAGTGTGTTGAGAACATCTGCAAGGGCACACCCTCTTTGCACACATAGCCTGCTGGGCACTCTATCGCCAGTCAGAAGCTCCTTTCCAGGTATGGGCTTTAGAAGCGTGGAGGGTTAAATACCACCGATCTAAGCATGTACGGCTGATACTGGTCACAAAAGAGGCTTTCTCTACAAGGCTCACTGAGTTTGGGATAGGAGGGGCAACCCAAAAAAATCCCCACCCCCCACTTGCCCCGGACTGCATTGGAGGGGTTACCCTGGAGAGAACCAAAACACGACTCCATTCTGTTGGCCTTCACCCACCTGCTGCGGGACCACGTAGGTGATGACGGAGGTCCTCGGAGCTGCTTCAGGCGGCCAAATGAACCAGGCCCACACACGAGCTTGCAAAGACATGTTTTGGCAACAATAAACAAACGGCTGCGTGGATTCTACGTTGCGATGTCCAGCAAGTCACTTGAAAAGCAACAAATCTCAGAGCGGCTTGTCTCTGTACACTCACTCGATTCATCTCGGAAGCTGCTTTTTTCTGGCGAGCATGCCAAGGGCTGCCAGCGCCACAGCAGCAATCTGGCGTTACCTCCGGGCAAGAACAAACATTGTCTGGCAGTGTCCAAATAATTAGCCTTCCAAATGATTGGCTTCCTTTTGGCTCACAGGTGGAAGCAACGACCAAAAGTGCTTTCCATAATGGACATAACCAGTAGCGCACATGGCTACAAGGCACGACATCAGGGACAAACCCACACAGGTGGGTCCGGAATACACAACACATGTTGTGCTTCAATGATTGTTGCGCCACCATGCAAACATCACGCAACTCCTGAAACAAGTGACCATACTTGTCAGACGCGCACACACGCAAACACCGAGTTCCATCCTACCAGTGTGCCATAAAGAGAACACAGCTGGCTTGTATGTGGGTACGTGTGGCATTGATGGTCTGTACAGGTACTCGTATTTGTCGCTCACGAATGTGGCCCTGTGTCTACTTTCAAAGCTTGACAGCGTTCCTTTTTTCTCAGTCGGGAGTAGTTATATAGGTCACGTGCTTGGGCAGGTGCGAGCGGATCATTTGCTGCAGGCGCGTGAAGAGTTGGTTGGCCACTTACTCTCAGATGTCCAGTGGCCATGGGGGAAAAAAGGGCATCCTTTCTTGGTTGGTTGACTTTGGGGAACCCTTCCCAAACATCAAGGAAAAAGGGCGCCATGGGGCAACTGGGTACTGAAGTACGCGTAATTATCAATCGACCTGGCACGTGCCCAGATCGGTCAGGCGCAGCGAATGCGCGGATCCGCTCGGAGCCAGTCGGTCAGTGCTTGAGCGAGTTTCTTTCTCTTGTCGTGCACGTGAGCTACGCTACACTGAGCATTCCATCTCAGCCGTCCATACGTGCAATTGGCCGGAGCCCGAGTGCCCTTCCGGGCGCCGACTGACCGTGCGCAGACTGGCCTTGCATTAACCTCTGTACCCAAAATCGGACGGACCTGGGCAGTAAGAAAGAATAGCTTGCCTGGCTGGGGGACCTTTAGCAACAGGCAAGCTTTGTAGATTTTGGGTGGCGCCTGGTACCTTTCACCATTATCAACATGTCATCTCAATCATCTAGCGAAGCCTTGGCCAAACGCGCTGATGCTTGGTTTGAGGGCGATCTCTCTCTCGGATTCATCGGCTTTGCGGTAGTCTTTTTTGTTTGCCTTAGGCTGCTGTTGTGTGCTTGCGGATTGGCACTAGGTGTTCGCCTTTGGGGCCTTTTGCGTGTGCAAAAAGCCCAGTGCTAGTTCAACTGGGCGGTCTTTGCTGGGTGGCTGGCTTGGGTGCTCCAGGTTGCTGTCATTTGTAACGTGTCCGCGGTTTGGTCGGGTGTGCTGGGCCAATAGCTTGGGAGGTGTTGTCTGAGTCTGCAGGCCACACATTCTTGAATTCTTGGGCAAGAAATATATTCATGCGCTCGAAACAGGATCGTTTTTTGCTAGACGTGGGCTGTTTTGAATTTTCTGTGTGACAGCAGCCGAGCCCTGATTCAACCGAGCTGTTTGGCAAGAGTCCGCTCCTCAGCCCTAGCCGAGGCGGGCTTGCGGTGGCATTCAAATTCAACCCGCAGTAGGCACAGGTGAACTTTGCACCCGAAACAACGTACAAACTAGGCGAGTCATGATCTGGCTTGCACAACCCACGCCCAGCAACCCCTGTTGCTTTTTTCCACCTCACCTCGCATGGTCACGGAACTCCAGCTTCTGACATTCTTCCTGGCCGCAGTTTGGTCGGCCCTTGCCTTTTGGCCTCCTTGGGGAAACAAAGGCACCGCCTAAAAATGCACAAATCCTCAAGAAGGTTCCGATAGTTTGCTGAAGGGCCACCCCCGCTTGCCAGTCGGCGTTTGGTGCTTTCTCCGGGGCACAACTGGCTTTCCAGTGGTCCTTGCTGCAGTTTCCTCCGGGAGGTTGGGGCAACATGTTCAAGCAGAATGGTCGTTATCTGTGCCGCAACCTGGCCCTGGGCTTGGGGCATCCATCCCAGATCCCAGACGGAGGTTGAGCCCTTTGGATGATCCGCAGTTGGTGCATCTGTCCCGTGATTGTAAACAAGGTGTCTTGCACAGAATTCATTCATTTGATGCGCTCTGCCAAGTTGGGTTTCCCGCATGTGGCACTGACATACGAAATAGAAGGCGTCCTCAGTTCTCGACCATCCCAGTCTCTTTTGTGCTTGGTGCTACGACCATCATGCAGGAAGCCAAGCGAGTCCAACTTACATACCGACCTAAATGGACATGCTCCAACAATGGCTATAAACGGTTTCTACAGGGACCATCCAGGGTACATACCCCTAACTCCACAACATATAAGAGGGTTCTCCCTTAGATTGCAGCCGGGCTTGGGCAAACTATCAATCAACATCTGGTTGAACCTCCGTCTATGCTTGCCTTGCACCTGTGTGTCCATGGATGACCGCCAGCCACAGGGGTGCCCCTTCAATTTCATGAAAGATCCAGACTTTGTCTGGCACGACGGCGGGGACCATCCAATTCTTTCGCAAAAGCCTCCCAATTGCTCTGTCCCTTTGGGCGGGGGGGGGGGGGCAGATTTGTTTGTGGTTCGTATGATAAGCCGCCAGGAAGCTGACATGCCTTGGAATGCACGGGCTGGCCTTCTCAACTCGTCATCTCAACTTCGGACTAATCCAAAGGACTATGCACAAGAGGTACATTGATATATATATATATATATATATTTCTGCCAGATTGGATATTCGTATGTCTTTTTCTGGAAAAACCTAACGTCACCATTGGTTGAATGATCACAGCTGAGAGAGCGAAATTCCCTCACGACGTCAGCACAACTGCACACTTCCGTCAACCGGTCTCTCGCATGTGTTGGCTGCGATAATCTATTTGGCATCCGGTAGCCGGTAGTATCCTGCCAAAAGCCGGCCCAACAAGGGGTGTGCTTCCTGTTGGTTTTCCTTCAAAACCACCAAAAGAGGGGTAATTCCCCTCAAACAATCACCTAAACACCTGCACAGACAGGTTCCCAACTAGCCGTCCTTGGAGTTGCTTTTCCTCGTCGGCTTGTGGTGGACGCGCACTCGGCTGCAGTCCAAATTCTTCTTGCCTTGGGCAAACAGCTATATTCATCTGGGAATGCCCATGTATCGTGTCGTACCCTCCATCCAGGGGTGAACATCAACGATAAGATTGAACTTGCCAAGCTCATAATATTGTTCTTCAATCACTTGTAAAGCAACGAGATGCATCCTTGGCCTCTAGAACTTGGACATGTAAGGATTTCCACCATGCCTTTTCAGGAATCGCAGAGAGCAAAAGCAAAAGCTTGGCAGTTCACATCTCCTAGTGGCTCCATGGCATTCCCTCGGAGCTTGGCACATCTCGAGGACATCTATGCACTTGGACCTGCTCCATCACGCGGGCAAAGCCGTGATTGCATCTGACTTGCTGGGAAGGGCCCAGCTGCAGCTCGAGTTGCACATGTAGCTGGTCTGGTAGTTCCAGATACAGCGATCGATCCTGATGCCGGGGGCTTGCCAAAACCAACATGCCAGATGCCAGGAATGTCGAAGGAAAAGCAGCAAATTCCAATATCGTTTCAATGCACACCTCCAAACAAGGACGAGCATCGCTGCATGCACCTCTTCACGCACAATCACGTCAGCCAATGCCAAGACTTGACCATTGTTGCCCTGAACTTCATGCCCAACTCAAGGTATCCAAATCAACTTTTGCACCCAAATCAACTGAACGCAGACCTGATCTTAGCTTGGCGACTCGCCCGCAAATTGGGATCCTTTCCCCTGAGGTTGGTTGGTTGCAAACCAAAAAGACTCCCGACAGATTGACATAGATCTTGTGATCTCTTCAGACTTCCTCGAATTTTAGGGGAACCTCAAGCTCATTGTGCTATGGGCAGATTTATTCGAGTCCCAAACGGACCGAAGGCCGCGGCGCTGGGCGGAGTCGACCAAGGAGAGGCCCGCAGACTGGAGCGCTTTTTGCGCCGAGCCCCCAGACCTCGGCAAGCGGATCAGAGATCAGAGTGGACCGATTCTGAAGACACCGAGCGGCTAAACCGGAGCCGGGTGAGGTCAGTTTCAAGCCCGGGTCGGACTGCGGGGCTGTTCTCTCAACGAAGCCAAGGAGCTTGTAGAAGAGCGCGTACCAAAAGCCTTCAAGGCTCCAGGGGTCTCTCTTGAGGCGACTCTTTGGGTTGAAGAAGCCAAAGGAACACCACCCATTTAGTTCCCTTAAGACACACCAGGTGTGAAGGAGTCCTGCCAATTTCCGAAGGGGGGTTTCCCTTGTCAAGTACAGCCAGGGCTTAAACAAGTCCTCTTTAAAGCGACAGCGGACTGCCAATCCTCAGATTGTCAGCTTACATGATGTCTGTGTCTTGTAAGCGGGACACGTATCTGAACAGGACCTTTGTTTGAAGTGGAGGGGTGGTCAATCCGAGAAACAAGGAAACAAATCTGCTTGGTACACTCAAGTTGGGGAGAAAGGTGCATTGGAAAACACGGTTGAACAAAACGAGTCTTCCACCACGTCCCGCGGACTCTCGGCAAGCAAAGTTCAAGCAAGCAGAGCTGGCAAAGCTCTGACACCACTGGGCTGCGAACTCACTGAACAACCAAATTGCAATAACTACGAAATCACGAAATTGCAAAGCCATCACACAACTCATCCATTCATTGTCAATAACTGCCATCAACTGCCATGCCAAGCAAAAAGACTTCTTCTTTCAACTTTTCTAGCACTTCCCATGTGTAACCCTCGGCCTAAGCCCTACAATTGTTTCTTCACCCGCTGACAAGGGACCGTA